CCCGCCGCCACCACCCACTCCTATATCCCTGATCCACCCACCACCCACACTCTCGGCTTTTTTTACGTCCCTCAAATCCCTTTTTACATCTGGAAATGGGAGAGGTGACAACTCATGCGAGAGACGCGAGGCGGGGAGCTTCGAGGGCGTCGTCTCGGTGAGAGACATGGGAAGTTCTCGCATGTCCTGTATGCCCGTCCTCTGCTCGTCTCCTCTCTTCATAAATTATAAATTATTAGTAATTTATGAAGATGATAAAATTTTAAACTTCGGATCTTCTTTAACACTGTAGGAGGTGATATCGTACTAAACTAAAAGGTTCTGTGGCGTTCATTCTTGTTAGTTCATTTTCTTTACTCTAAGCAAGCGCTATCGCAGAGGACTTTTGATTAGACGCCGCGCCGGGGCAATCTTTCGCAGTGGTTTTACCACACATTACCCACACTGCTGTCACACGTCGAGAGTGGTGTCGTCAAAGTCGTGTGGACGGGGTATGCCCGCCGGTGGCGCCCTCTCTGGAGCGTCGGCTGAAACTGCTCGTGGGCGCGGCAGTACTCCGCGCTGGTAGAGACGGTACGGGCGCAGCGCGGGCATCAAGTGCGGCTGCGCGACCGCCTTCCCTCCAACAGCTGTGGTGTCCGAGTGGTTAAGGAGTTTGACTCGAAATCAAATGGGCTCTGCCCGCACAGGTTCGAATCCTGTCCGCAGCGGAAATTTTTTTTCGTCCCCGTTTTGCATGGTTGAATGTTCTGCTGTGACTGATTTGTCATGATTCAAAGTGATGAAGTTTTAATGCGGTCTGTGGATTTATGTTCCAGGTTTCTTGGCCGCGGGTCTATGTTTGTCTTCTCGTCAGAGCAGTTCGCCCGTCTAGTAGGAGGGCGTACCGGTGGTCGTCTTCTAGATCTAGGGGCTGGGGACGGTGCAGTTACCTCTCAGATGGAGCCATTCTTCGACCACGTGTCTGTAACTGAAATTTCGGCACCGATGCGAAAAATATTGGCCCGAAAAAAATACAGGTAGTTTTTCAATCTCTGGAAGAACATCCACTCCATGTAAAGTAACAGCTAAGTATGTTATCTCATCAATAGCAGTTTCTCATAGATTTTAATTTTTTTCAAGTATTCTTGAAATAAATAGTTGGGCAGAAAACGGACCATGGGATGTAATATCGTGCCTTAATGTGCTGGACCGATGTTCTAATCCTAAAGAACTCCTCAAACAAATTCACGACTCACTCACTCCTAGCGGAAAAGCAATTATTGCTATAGTTCTTCCTTACCAACCCTATGTTGAAACTGGTGGGTACTCTTATTCATAACCAAATGATGTTTTTTTTTTACACCTTTCACTGGAATGTATTTCCTTTCTTTTTCAGGCGGTAAAGGGGATCACCAACCTGAAGAGCGCCTGCCCATAGAGGGAATTACTTACGATGAACAAGTCACTAGCTTTGTCACTGATGTCTTAGGTCCTGCAGATTTTCAGGTTGAAAAATGGACGCGTCTCCCGTACCTTTGTGAAGGGGACCTCCAACAAGCTTTCTATTGGTTATCAGATGCTGTCTTTGTAGTTAGGAAAGCAACTATTGTCAGTTCATGATAAGACTTACCCTACAAACTAAAGAATAGATGTTGTTACCTATCTAGGATACATATAATTTTTTGAGTCTTGTGTTTGAATTGTAAGAATAAAATACCGAAACGAAACGTTTTCCCACCTGTCTTTCAATTATGCTTGTTCTTTTCCCCCTTTTCCCGCCTTAGAGCATTTCCGCTCACTAAGTTTTAGAACTCTCTCTGTTCTCTGCCTGAAATCTCGATCCGCGAGACGAATCTATGAGACCGTGGTTGGTTCCATCATCTGCTGTCTACGGCTGCGACCCGCAGCAATAACACTTTGTGAAGTTTTAGTTTTTAAGAAAAATCAAGGAAAATGCTAAAGACATTCAAGCAGATCGGGCAAGCCCTAGTAAGCATCAAATCCTTTGTCTCTCTACACTGTCTAGAATGACCTATCTTTATCAAGTATTTAATCTGAATGCCTACCCGTTTCTCAAAATTAACCTATATTTATTATTTCTTACCCTAAGGTTATTGAAGTTGCTTTAAATGACTGATATATATCTGATGCGTGTTAACAAATCAATTTCTCATTAAATTACCACGAAATCTCGGCATAATTAAGGTTATGTTGTGTCCAGCATCAATCTTTGTTTCCAACAGGATCTGAAGTTAAAAATATAATTTTCCTTAGTTAACTATAGGCAATCTGTGATTTCGCAAAGTAATTCTCTCGATTGAATTAAGTGAATTGCACACATTTTTCATTCCACAATTTATTACATGTTAACCCTTATTTCTCTCTGTTGTACTTAAATGAAGTTTATGTAATCCTCAGGTTAGGAATGCTCGTGGCGTTCAAACATCATCATCTGCCCTGAGTGACAACCTCTTTGTGGTAAGTACGGAACTTTTCTTTTTCGCCTTTGCATATACTAGTAAAATTGTACTAATTATGACACTTTTTTATTTATTTCATAGCACAGAGATTCTCCTGAGGACAATCCAGATATTCCCTTTGAATTCGATGCTAACAATAAAAAGGTTGTTGTACATCAACGTGTGATGTTCTAAAGGCTGTTTTAGTATTATACTGTCTAATTTATTTATATCTCATGACAGCGTGCTGAAGCCTTAATGGCCATCTACCCTGAGGGGCACAAGAGAGCAGCTCTCCTCCCTCTTCTGGACTTGGCACAGCGTCAGCATGGTTGGTTGCCTCTTTCAGCTATGCATCATGTAGCAGATATACTCGAGATTCCTAGAATGAGGGTGTATGAAGTGGCTACTTTTTACACAATGTACATGAGGTAATGCATATTTTCATTTTCGTTTGCATTTGTCCATGTTTACTCTCAGTTGCATGAGCAAAATGTTCAAATTGACATATGACATTTTATAGGAAACCTATGGGAAAATACCATCTTCAGGTTTGCACCACCACACCATGCTGGCTCCGCAACTCAGATGAAATTATGAATGTTATCAAATCCAAGCTGAATATTCAAGTTGGGGAAACAACTCCCTGCAAAACTTTTACTCTCTCAGAAGTTGAATGCCTTGGAGCTTGTGTTAATGCTCCTATGGTTCAAGTTAATGATGACTATTATGTGAGTACTACCTATATCTCCTTGCTGAATAGTAACGGTTTGTTAATGTAATGCTTGCTGTTCATACTAGTTTTCTATTTCTGCAACCAGGAGGATTTAACTGGAAAGGACATGGATGAAATTTTGGAAGATCTGAAGGCGGGAAGGAAGCCAAAAGCTGGCCCAAGGTTTGTTCTACAATTTTTTTTGTATTTATATTTAGTTATATTTTTCTCAGTTTGTAAGACAGTTTTCTTTCTTTTCTAGGAGTGGAAGATTTGCCTGTGAACCAATTGGAGAGCCAACCTCACTTAAGGGTGAACCAACTGGACCAGGTTTTGGTGTTCAATCTGGTTTATAAGTAGACAAATATTTTTTTTTCATGTTTGCAATTTTTTCAAGTGGTGAGTTAGCTATAATATCTTGAACACGCTTGTTTCTGACTTTGATGTTAATAAACTTGAAACAGGTAGGAGCAGTAGTGCAAAATATTATACAAGGGTAGTGACTCACATGTAAAAATATTTACTAGGAATTGAATGATGTACATTAATTTTAATCTAATTGAACATCTAAGTGTACATATTTTGATGCAATAAAAGGTCCTACAAAATGGTCTTACAGTTGGACTCATAGTCTTATTTCTACATTTACTAAAAGTTACAGTACCGGTATGTTGCTGCTTGCTGAAAGATAGCTGAGGGTTTGTTCACAAAGTGGTATTGCTAGGTGGTCTACATCATTCTTAACAAAGCTTGAAATTCTTTGACCGTTTTCTTTTCTGATTTTGTGTATCTTTTTTTTCAGTTTTCTTTTAAAAAACAATATTTTTCATTGCCTTATTTCTTTCTTTTTGATTGTTTACTGTCCCTCTGCACAGTGATCTCTCTGCAATATGTGCAGGTATGAATATTCAATGGCAGTGGGCAATCCTGCAAGTACCACAGCTGACAGGGCACTGCGATTAAGGTTCATCTGTTTTACTTCAGTCCACTCATTTTTGTCAACATTCAAACATTCTGTGTTTGGAATGATAGTGCCTGGAAAAGTATTCATAAATCATTTCCTGATATTATCAAAATGAGCCTGTTCTGTTCCATGTCACATCATGCTCACCATTGAATCCACCAATCACATAAATTAAATCATCTAGAATGACAGCAGCAAAATTGCTTCTGGGGTGCAACATGTCTACTATTGGCTGCCAGGCATGACCGTCGAAACGTTCCCCCGAGCTGAGCCGATCTTGACCATTAAATCCACCAAGAGCATAAAGGTAGCCACAGTGCGCAACAAGACTCACACCAGACCGTGGACTCAGCATTGAGGTAATAAATGTCCACTGTGACACGCTCGGGTCGAACATCTCGGCAGAACTTAGCACCTCTTGTCCATTAAATCCTCCTGTAATGTATACCTAAAAGCAAAAGTTGTACAAAAAACTAATTGATTTTTGTTTTTGCTGTATTAGTATACTTTA